CTTTCCCACAGGAGCAGCCCCTCCGTGCTGGTGTGAACGGGGGCCCAAAATATTAGCGAGTAAAAAACCTTCACCTCAAAGGATCCTGATCTTTCGATCCTCTTTAGGCTCACTGAGTCCTCCTAAGAGGCTTAACCAACGCACTGCTTGACAGGCCTTGCCAGACCGAAAAACTGACTCTTCATTTAATACAGGGGCCATGGTCTTCCCCGGGAAAAACTGTGTCAAATAAAAATGAAAATTAATACAATGAAAAAATATTAAATCAATAAACCCAAGATGCTTCGTGGACACAAAGAGGGGTGGGGAGGGGCATGGAATTCTTTGTTAAATGGGAAACAAAGTCTTAAAAATACAGCTGATGGCAGACATGGGTGTAAGAGCTCAGGGCAGCACTGGCAGTGGACTGTTTTCGGTAACCCAAAGCAGCTGGGGTGGTTGAAAAGCAGCTGAGGCTGCTGCTTCTGTGCTGGAATACGAATGGCAGATGGATGGGAGCTGGTGCTAAAGGTGGCTTAGTGCTGTGTGTGCTGTCCCTAGACTTGGTGTGATGGGCTGGGGCGGGGGGGCAAGGAGCAGCAGAGAGCGCTTCATTAGCTTGTATCCACCTCTGATGACCACAGGATTGGAAAATGGCAGGAGGTGAGAATGTTAAAGCCTATAAATTGGCTTCCTAATAGGTGACAGAAAGAGGCATCAGGTGGCTTTGATCAGGGGGATGGATCCTGCGTGGCTTCTGATCTGAACGGCAGCAGGCACTGCGGCGTTTTTGGCTCCGGACTGTGTTCAGCTGTGCTTGCCCTCGCTGTGCCATCACTTCAGAGGCTGTGCTGGGGAAGGAACGATGGGTTTTGCACATGCCCGTGTCAGCGCTACGGAGAAGACCTCGTACATTGGCCTTTAAATGCAGCAGCTCCGGAACAATGAGAAGCGCTAACGCGTCCGCTGGCAAGAGCGGCTGTGAAAGCTCCAGTGATCTTTATTGATATTTCCAAATTAAAGCTCTTGGCACTAATTCCCTCCCTGCATAGCACTGGCAGGCTGATGAGATGGAGCTGGCCTTCAAGGTGGTGGCTGGGCTGTGCTCTGCTCTGCTGCATCTTACCAGCACCCCGCGGCCCAACACGAAGGGCACATCCTGCTCTGATGGGGTGAGAGCAACCGTGTCACTCCAGTGTAGAGTTTCTCCAGGCACTGTGGACCTCCTGCACCAGGAGGATCTCAAACTGGCACTGTGGTCTTCCAGGTGACTTGCAAGTTAAGGAGAGGAAGAAGCGCCACACAAGTGGAAGTTTTGCTGCATAATAGAAAATCACCATTCAACAGAATTTCCAATAACACAGAAGATCAATGAAATCAGAACTACCCAAAGCTGCCATGTTTGAGTCACTGCTGTACACACTCTTAATTACAACATGGGTGGGAAAAAAAAAACCCTTTATTACTGCTGCTTTAGGGCTGTGGGTTCTACTGAAATCCAAGCTTTCTCTTCCCATCTCCATCTCCCCGACCTCTCAGGAAGCACTGTTTTGTTGAGTCATCCAGCAGCAAGCGACAAACCTCTTGGGCAGCGATACTCAAACAATAGCACGTGTCTCCAAAAAGGATTTTGAAAATTAATTTTTAATATGTGGCCTCTGCCCTGATTTATCTGTGCCGGTCTAAACGCACGGGTATAAATAGCTCCACTGATCTGAATGGATGCTTGTGGGTATAGCAAAGAAAAAAAGTCATTGCCTGCTACCGGAGGTAAATATTTATCTAGGTATGATTTAATGTCCGAGAGTTCTTTTCTTTCATTAGCGTTGGCTTTAATAACTCTTCTTTGAAACAGACTTCTTCAAAGGGAATTTAGGGATTAGTGCGTTTAGGTTGCTCTAGATTTCTGCTCCTCCTCATCTAAGCCTGCCTCTGTGACCCCGTATCTGCTGGCTGCCATCATCATCCCCACGGACTGTCAAACGAGAGGTGACATTTCAGTGCAAGCCCAAACGAGGACCAAAGTCTGCGGCAACCTCTGGATCTCTCCGTTTAAAAAAAAAAAAAGACCCTGAAAACTGCTGAAGGCAGCTGGGTGAGGTTGCTAAATCGTCGTGCTGGGCATGCACACACAGAGCCTGTCCTTGGGCTGCTTGGAGCCAAACACCAGCTGATTTGCAGTGGGGAAAGGTAGAGGGACCCAGAATCTTTTTGCTCTAAGTACTGACAGCAAAACCAAGCTAGGCTTTTATAACGTGCAGACTGCTCCATGCACCTTAAGACGGTCCTTTTGCGCAAGCTCCTCCCTGGCGAGGGTCTATAAACTTGAGCCTCTTGGTCTTTTTTTCTGTCCTACACGGCTTTCCTGGAAATAATTAATTAAGTCATTGTAACAGCTTAGTTTCTTAAAAGTACAGATCGACAGGCTGGGAAATAATTAATGCATAAACAGAATGTACACATTAAAGACTAGAAGAAGACGGTTCACTTTGCTTTTAACACCGCTCTTGCACTTCAAGCTTTCATTGCTTTTTCTTCCTTAGGTATCTATACGGGTCTGCAGCTACCCGATTGCTCTTAATGTCTGTATTCGACTGCAGGAGGGAAGAGAAAGCGGCAGTAAATTTTACAATATGTTTACATTATAACCGGGTTTATAGGGGCATCATAAATTCATTGTGTATTCCAACAGAAGTATGGATCTCTTCCAATTTAATTTTCTGAAGTTCGAGATTGCAGCTGGGTCACTCCTGGTGTAATCTGGGAGACGCATCCTCTAAGGCTGTGGGTTGGGAGAGCGGCATCCCGGCTGTCAGCACCACCCATCACTTACCCCGCCGGGGGGCTGAGGCCGAATCGCTTTCTGTGGGTGCAGCAGCATGGCTGGCTTCATAAATTCTGTTGCAAGGAGCAATAATCAATACTTCATGGTTAATGACGCAAAACTGGAATTAGTATAGATTATATGTCTCCTGCTCTTCCCAATTATGCAAACATTACTGTGCCCCTCCTGTAGTTGCCTTATATTACAGCTTTCATAAAGGCTGTCTGGTGATGTTTAATTGAAAGTCGGAATAGTCAAAAATGTCACAACCAATTTTGGTTTTTCCTTTTTTTTTTTTTTTTTTTTTTTTTTCTTTTTTTTTTTTTTTTTTTTTTTGTTCGGTCTTCACCCTGAGGTTAATAGAAAATGATGTCAAACACAAGGAATGATTTATGTAAGTCATGCAGGTTTTGTCACCCAGAGCTATATATAAAGTCAATTGCAAATTGTTTTCACGTTCTAAATTACTGTACATAGCTGTGGGCTATGCTGAAAAAATGACCAGCGGAATAATACAGGAGAGAAAAGGTTATCTTCTGAGCTGTACTTCACAAAAAGAAAATTTTTGAAAGTTGCTTGGTTTTAATATGCTAGAAGAGGCTGTTCCTCAGAGCAGGAAAAAAAAAAATAAAAGGAAAAATTAAAAGGAGTTTCACAACTGGATTATTTCCAGTGGCTGATGAGCGGTAGGTGGCAGCCAGGCCTCCCAAATCGCGTGCCCACAAAACGGTGCTCCAATTAGAGACCCGGAGGGGCGAAGACTGGGGAAACATCTAACTTGTCGTCTTGGCAAATCTAGTTTATGCATAAATTTTATTTTGCAGTAATAGTCTTTCCAAGGCTGGCGGGAAATGAAAGCTGCATTAGGAGTAAATCGGCTACCAGCTGTGATCTTGTTTCATGGCGAACAGGGTAGAATCTTGTGCAGGATTAAAAAGCCCCGAATAAATTTCTCTGTTTCACAAAATCGGCTTCATATGGGGAAGCAGAAGATAGAGCTGGCTGATCCGTTGTGCTCCTGGCGATTGCAACAGCCTTGTTGGAAACAAAAATCTGGGGTTTGTCCCCAGGTCGGATAAGATATACAAGATGAAAATATCCTTGGTTTGACTTTTTAACGTTCTTGGTCTTCCTAGGAATCCTGTATCTGTATGCGAGGTAGGTGTGAAGTGAATTACCCTCCTTCCTTACTCTGAGTAGATGTGCTGCTACATTTGATTCCCAACTTAATGAGCTAAAAGAAGTCGTGAGTTAACGTCTTTGTGTTTTGCATAGACTTCTCGTTTTCCAGCTTAATTATCAAGCATTTGATGTATAAACACAAACCTGAGGGCACATCCCCGCTCTTTGCCTCGCATCCTAGGGAGGGTTTAGTGTTTGCTTGTCAGCCCAGGTTTTCAGGAGGCCTGGGCTCCTGTGCTCTGCGCCGGCGCGTCCCAGCGATGTTCAGGCACGCTGGGGGATTGTGCCCTGCAAGGGGACGGAAAGCTCAGCCCAGGAATGGCGTCCCCTGGAGCACACGCTTCATTGCAACCAGGTTCTCCTCCACCCCTCAGCTCCCACCGCTTCCGAACAAGAACACCCTGCCAGTCAGCTATAATTTAGGGGTTTTTAAGCCGAATCTGTCCTGAACATCATGGGTAGATTTTATTTTTTTTTTCCCCCGGGTCATTAGCATGGATGCAGGGAACCCCAGCTATGCTGTAGTTAAATTTGTGACATCTCTGCTATTGAAACAGCGCCTGATACGAATACCCTGGTAAAGGCATCGGGCTCTAAATCTCAGCCAGTGACTCTCTTAATTACGAGACTGAATACTGTTTGATTGCAGAACAAAGAGAAGTGCCTGAAAGTACGAGCTGATGCTTGCTTGCCTCTTACCAAGCCCATCTCTTGATGGCTGAATTTGATTCCTCCCTAATCAAAGCAGCCGCACACCTAAGACATGAAAGAATACTTTCCTCTTTTGCTCTGCCTATTATTTTTGTGGGTTTGATACTTTCAAACTTACGCTGGACATATTGATGAATACATTGGTTTCTTTGTAGTTATTTTTGTTATCTAAATTTGAAAGCAATCCCATAGACGTTACCCGAGGGGACTGTTTTTAGTGGTTGGTTCACAACGTTTCGAGGTTGAGTAGGAAAGTCCAATGTCAACCAAGAGCTTCCCATAAGCACATTGAAATGTTTTTTTTCTCTCCTTGTAGGAAGAACTCAAAAGGCTCCAGCACACCTTGGAACAAGTCAACGATGGCAAGGACTTGCTTCAAAGGTAAGTGCGTGATTTCCACAGTATCTCACACATGATAAAGCGAAATGGCTTTTGTAAGGTCACGAGCCCTTTCTGCAGGGCAGTCTCTTTGTTGTTGACTATGTTTTTCACTTAGTAATATACTAAATAATCCAGATTTTGCATCTCTCCCATAAAAAAAATTCTTATTTTTAGTTACAGGAGGATAATTTCTGAAAACTGCTGCTGATTGAATGATGTAATTAAGTGTCCAGTAAAGTCTCAAAATAACTCCACAGGTCGGGGGTCTAATCTTACAAATTTTCATGTGAAGACTTTTCATCCATGCTGCTAGCTCCATCCAAAGCAGTGTCCCGAGATGTTTGATTTTTTTATCTTCTAACATTTTAAAATTGCTTTCTCAAAGCGATCGGTTTGCAGCACCAATTCCTCGGTCATCATTTATTACAAAGAATTTTTTCGTCATGTTCCTGAATGGCTTTTGCTGATGTAATTCATTTGCTACTGGCATTACCATTGTTACTTTCCATTTTACTCTCCAGCTTTTCAAACATAGCCCCAGGGATGAAAGTTAATTTAGCAAGAATATCTATTATATTTGCCAGTGGCTTTTTTATTTATTTATTTTTTTATTTGCAGCGGCTTCTTTGCTGGGTGTGCCTGTCTCTGGAGCTGTGGCATCTGGAAGGTTTAGTGCAAGGACTCAGGCAGGCTCCGATCTGGAAACTGGATCCAAATTCATACTTTTTGTTTACAGTCAAATGGGGTTGGACATAGCGACCCAGATGCCTTCCTCCAAAGACAGGAAACACCTTATACTAAGCAGCTCTTGTATGTTCTTGTCAAAATTTCAGAATTAATTCACAGCGCTTGCAAAAATGTCACGCTGAGATGCATTAAACCCATTTTCGTTTCTTTTCCATAGCCATCAGCTTACCATGGATGAAGAAAATAACATTGAAAAATATCATATCGACTTACAGCCCTTGGAATCAAAAGTGAAAATGTAAGTAATGAAGATTACAACTTCTGCCTTTTAATGCAGCTGAGTTTGATTCCCAAGCAGCAGAACCCAGACTGTATCCACTGTGGAGTTCTGGGTAACGTTAAGTATAAAAAAGCCTCAGTTTAGCACTAAGCTCTTCTCTGCCTTTTAGCACATGAGCATTCTCTCTGAACTCAGTTTCAAATGCTAAACTTCGGTGTTGCATTAATTTTGTCATTGCCTTCGTGAAACTAAAGGATATTTGAGAATCTGCTCTATTTTTCATATATGCAGAGGACGTCCTAGAGGGGGAAAGGGTAGCACAGAGCAAGTAGAAATCCCTTCAGTGGTATTTTTCACATCTAACATGAAGTCTGGTTCAAGCTCCCCGGGCGGCTCACGGGACTCCTCTGCAAAGAGCAATCCTGGGGTTGTGTCTGTGTGAGTCTGAGGGGACCAGGGCTCCGTGGCACTGAGAAAACTGGTTTTTACTGGGAAGCCAGGCAGTTGCCAGCGCTCAGCCAAGGCACATGCATGACACCTAGCTGCACCGCCGGGAAGGGAGAGATAAGCATCACCGTCTTCTGACTTCCGAACATTTTAGCCTGCGTAATAAATTTCCCACACGTTGTCCAGTTTAGCACGGGCTCAGTTATTCTAAAAGGCTTGACTGTGCTGCACCAGGACACGCGGTAATACTGAGGATATAACTTAAAAAACTTACCCACCTGTCTGTCAGAGCAGAAGACTCCTCTTTGTGCTCTTCCAGCGCTGTTCCTCCAGCCCTGGTGCAGGCATTTGTTCCGTCCAGGAGGCATTAACTCTGCCCTAACACGGTGTCCCTGGATCTTCCAGGCAGACAATGAAAGTTTAACGTGACTCCACTTGCATAAAAAAAAAAAAAAAAAGAACATCTTTATGCTGAAGCCAGCATTTGTGACATCAGGCACAACTTTACAGAGCTACATGTGTTGCTACGTTACATACCAAATTTCACTTTCTGTTGAAAAGCTACAGCTAACTCGCTATACAGGACATTAAAACATTAATGCTATATTAAAATATTAAGAGGATGTGAAGTTTCATATTAAAATCCAGCCAGTGTCTTTTAGTCATGGAAATTTAAGCCAGATAAAAGAATAAATTTTCAGGGAGCTGTCTGGAAGGGTAGTTATGACTTAACCTCACTGTATTCTCAAGCTTTAAAATTAAAAGTACGTGTAAACGTAAATATGTAAACACCACGGGTCCACGTTACGCAGTAAAACTTGAAACTGAAACAATGCAAACTGTAAATGCTTGAGGTGTGAGGATGTGGGGATTTTTTAAAGCAAAATGCATTTACTGGAAGCTCCTCCATTGGCGCTCTCTTTTGGGAGCTTTGGTGGGTATTTCTGTCCATTTTAAAGCTGTTGTATGTAAACAACACAGGCCTTAACCCACCTGGCTGGCTCTGCTGTGCACCTACCCTGGTCAGGTTGTAATAGATGCTGGTTTGTTTCTAATCTGGTATTCTCCTAGAAAATAACAAAATACATAAATTTGATTTCCTCAACCTTGAGATTTTTCTAAATGTGTGTTGAGAGAGTTGTTCTCTGACCAGGAAAAATTACATGCCAAGAGGCACCGCCCAGGGTTTGAGCTCCTGGCACTGTGGGAGGTCAATGAGAAGTTGTCGGTGCCCTGATGTTGAGTTTCATCCTCCTCCTGCAAAGCCACGAAGTTGGATGTGCCAGTGTGTAACCAAATGCCTTTTCAGCAGTGTCTGGGGGCTAAGTGTTTCTCTGGCTTGTGGAAACGGAAGCAGAAATGACGTCTTGACTGTTACAAAGGCAATGTTAGAAAAAAAAAAAAAAAAAAAAAAAAAAAAAAAAAAAAAAAAAAGTATTCATAGGACAAAGTAAATCCATGCCAAAGGCTTTTGGACCCTTTGGTTTGACCCGTAAAGGCCACGGTAAGGTTTTTCAGCGGGGAGCGCTGTCCCGTGCGCTGCTCTGGGGCACAGCACCATGGGTGGGAGCAAGGCCAGGCGGGGTCTGGGTGTGGGAGCCCTCCCGGGGGCCCCCAGCAGCAAGGCTGGGTGCTGCGGGTGCCCAGCCCTTCGGCAGCGGGCAGGATGGAGGAGCCTCGACTCCCACCCGCAGAGCAGCACAAGAGCTTTGCACCGCTGAGAACCACCTCAGCACGGGTCACGGCACTCTACCTGATTAACAGGCACACTGAAAGTTTTACTGACTTGATATCCCAGTGAATAAAATCCCAAATCTTTAAAAATCCTAAAAGGAGCTCTTTCTAGCTCGTTGCACTGCAGCAGCGCCGCTGAGTCTGAGGTCAGAATTTAGCTCTGCTTTGCTGCAGAGTTCGCAGACCAGCCTCTGTGCAAACACCCACATACTTTGTGTTATTGCCATTACTATTGTAAACGCTGTTTTAATTCCCAGAATCTCTCACGGATCTCCCGGGCACCTTCAGAAAGGCGCAGGCGGTCCAGCACTGCCACCTGGTGAGAGCCGCCCCAGCCTCCTGGCCACCGGCCAGCACAGAAAATGCAATTTCTTCACAGAATTTCACGTCAGGTTTTAGAAACTTGATCAAAGTTGAGAGTTTGAAGGCAGAGCTCCTACTACAATCCCCCACACGTTACTTTGGGGGAGGTTTTGAAGGATACTGGTCTGGCTCTGAACTTCCAACTGTATAATCTGAAAGCTAATATAAGATGCTGAAGGCTGTTCATTCTTTTAAACAGGTAATTGTGGATTTTTACTTTGTTTGCAAGATCTAAGAGAACTGCTGGGTTATGTACAGTCTTATATTTAAATCACTTCCTCAGGTTTAGGGATCTGAGCTAAAGAATTGCTTCTGCTGAACAGATGCAAGTTATACCGGTAGTGGCTGATATAAGACCTACAGAGGGGTAGTTACAAGTGATCATTATCCAAACCAGAAAAAAAAAAAAAAAAAAAAAAAAAGTGAAAAACATCTTTTCAATCAAGAATATAGATTTTAAATCCTTTGTGTTGCTTCATTCCACCCGCCAACCCTGTGCCTTGGTGTTTGCCTCAGTATCCAGCGAGCATGGCGTGAGTACCTGCAGCGCCAGGACCTGCCGCACCACGAGCAGCTGGAGAAGCGCAGCCCCTCCCCGCCGTCCCTCTCCTCGGACAAGATGAGCAGGTCCATCAGCATGAACACCTTTTCTGACAGCAGCACGCCGGTGAGTCGGGCGATCGGGCCCGTTTTCTGATTTGTGGCTTTTCGTTGGGTTCCTATCGAGGGCTTTGGGTCAATGAGAGCTGAATTATGGGCTACTCGTGTAAGAAGGACTTTTAGGGGTGTAGTAGTGTCTCGAAGCCGCAGGCAGATGTGCCTGTTGCAGGTACAGTTGAATGTGTGACTGTTAGGTGTAGATCTCATCAAAATGGTGTGTCGGACACCGCAGATATTAGGCGGTGGTCTTGATGGGGAGCGGTGTTCCCAAATGGTGGTGTGTTCTTCTGCAGAAAGCACAGATCTTCACGTGTGTTTAGCACTTTGCGTTCTCCAAAAAAACCCAAATTGTGGTGCTTTTCCTACAGATAAGTGGTTTGTAGGGTTGTGGGTTTTGTTGGTTGGTTGGTTGTTTTCCTAAAAGAGGCTTAGAGAAGTTGATCTAGTGATTAAATTAGATTTTGGAATAAATAATCATGCCACCTTGCAGACTGGCTGAGTGGTGGTTGGAGGCCGTACTTCTCTTTTTTAGGTGACTAAACTAGAAACCCAAATATTTGTGCTCATTTTTTGAAAACAAGTGGCTTTGTGACTGTCTCTGGAGTGGGATCTTTTAGGTCAATAAATCAGAAAGTAGATATAGAGCCTATAAATGTTGCTTTCAACTTTGTGACAGAATACTTCAGATTTGAGGTAGCCTAGAGTATGTGCAATGATTCAATATATATATATATATATATTATTTTTTTTAAAATATACTGGAGATAGAACTTGCTTCGGTGCATCTTAGACTAGCTAAATAAAAGCAGGACGTTCAGCTGAGGTGTGCAGGACGGGCGTGAACGCATTGTTTGGACCCTCACTAGGACACGTGTTGGTCAGCTATAGGATGCTCTGTTGCCACTCACAGGACAGCATTTGGTGGCTTCTGATTTCGCTACACAGATCTAGACATCATTGCTAGTGGAGTTCTTAAAGTAGATGGAGCCCCTGTGCGAGGACGAGGTGTTTGCTAGTTTACCTCTGCCTTCGGCTGCGAAGTTGGAGCAATGCCACCACAAGGCAGGCGCGCCGAGCCAACAGAACTTTTCTGTCCTGAGGACACCGGTCTTGGCCTTGCACAAAGAATTTCACTCTTTCCTGCTTTGGACTGCATGATCTAGGTTCAAACTGAAGCGAGGTGAGCTGGTTTATTATTTTTGTGACGCCGTGGTCAGGCAGGCGGCACTGGGTTGGGCAGTATTTAATAAAATACGACAGAGCACGCTGGTTTGGTTTTAGATGCCGTGTGTTCAAAGCCGGAGACCAGGATGATAAACCCAGTTTGCAATATTACGTTATACGCTAATGTCTCATGTCTTAAACGAGTTAGGTTCCTCTAATGAGAGAGATAATTTTGGATATCAATTTTTATCTGCCGCTGGCGTTTGTGGGAGGCTGGCTGCCGTGCGGGAACACCGAGCCAGCCGCTTGGCCACCACAAGAGGTCCTTCGTACCCCGCACAGGGAGGCTCCTGGGTGCTCTCCGTCAGTTACCTAATTTGGAAAATGATGCTTTTTTAATGCTTTTGAGGTTTGGAGGGGGGGGGGG